GAATTCGACGGAAAGCCCAAAGTCACTTACAAAAAATAGGAACGAACATATATGCATAATTCAACGAACGTGTTTTTTTAACCGAAGAAGGAACAATAAATTAAAACATAAAGTTTGAAATATAAAGCAATATCACAGTTATAGAGTTAATATGTTCATTCAAGTAGTTTTTACATTTCCTGTACGAAAGTGGAATAAAACAGCTGTATCCCAGATAAAAGGTTTGTCAAGAGTTGATACAACAATTTCTATAAAACAGGTTGGAATGTTATCGTTTCCCTGTAGAATGATATAACACAGAGAAATGAGGCTGTAGCTTAACAAACTTTAAGGTATCTCCACTTCACAGAGGCATATTTTTATATTTATAATTGATACAATACATTAGTACATGTAAGTTCTTTTAAAATTGTTTACACAACTGGATCTTTCTTTGTGAAAGGGCCTAGTTGCTGTGGGCTTAACAGAGTTATTTTCAAGCATGAATTTGCTTGTGATTTTCGATCGATTATTCGTGTGACCGATATTCAATTATTTGTAAAGGCGAAAGTAGAGCACAGATGACCTTAACATGAATATTTTTAAAGACGGAACTATCACCACGAATGGCATTCACAATGTACAGAAAAAAGTTTGATCGTGTATGAACATGCAATAACAAATCTAAATACTAGTAGATATAGGAATCCCAATAAGTACTTGGAGGATTATGGATCCTACAGGCATTCCAATTTGTACCGTTACATTATAAGAAATATTCGAACAAATAGTTAACACATGTACGAGCTGACTCAGCATTAGTTTAATTGAATTAAAATTCTAGATCACCTTTTCAGAAAATATTATAATAATATTTGAAAAAAGTATAACAAAAATACCAAACTCCAAGGCAAGTTCCAAAAGGTTAAGTCCATAAAAACTAACAAAATAAAACGCTATCAATCAACGGAACAAGTGAAAAACAACTGCCATACTCCTGACTTGATACATGCATTTTTCGAAAAAAAAATGGTGTGTTTTACCTGGTTTTATAGCTAGCTGAACCTCCCACTTATATAGCAGTTGTTTGTAGTTCTATTATATCGACAAAATTAGGTAAGTAACCCAAGAAGACATAATAGGTTAGTGCGAAAATAATTGGGATCTAGCAGCCAAAAACTGTGTAAACTTACATCACAGACAAACAACACAACTGACTAAAAAATTCAAACAAACACTCAAATTAATCTTACAAAGACGCCAACAAAAAAGGTGTATATGTAATAAACTCATCATAGATGCCAGGATTTAAATTTTGTAAGGCAGACGCGCCTTTCGTCTATAAAAGTCTTATCAGTGACATAAATTACACAATGACGTCAACAAAAAAAGGTTTTGTCGTTAATAGTATACATTTTCTCCATAAAATTAAAATTAAGTATATAAAAGTACAAGGGTGAAAAAATTATATACATCACTTTAAAATTTTTTTTTGTACAAATCGCACCCCAGGACCAAGATGCACCAGGAATGCCCAAATTTAAAAAGACATAAGCCCGATGGCTGGATGCATGAATACCGAGTCACGTTAAAAGTAAGTTGAACAAAAGCACGATAAAGCCATGTATTTTGGTTTAATGTTGGAAAGAATGTGAACAAACTTGACGAGTTGATTTTTATTGACTGTTTATTTTTTAAGAAAAAAAAAAATTTTAACAACCAAATAGTTTTTGGATAAATGTCAAGCAAACTACATATCGAAGTAGATTTCATATTTAGCAATGAAAATGTAAATAGAAAAAAAAAAGAAAATACGGCCAGATTATTTTTCCTTTCTTGACATCCATGGCAAGATCTAACAGTGTCCGAAAACAATGGACGGTTATTTATACATAATTCGAACTTTTCAGTTAAATTATAAATAATCGAGAAAAAGAACTTAACAACCACATATTTTTTCGATGAATGTTAGGTAAACTACACATTTTGACACCAGAAATGACCTTCTGTTGACCTGATTGAGGTTATAATACCCCTTATATAAAGTAAAACTCATTGAAACAATTAACCCGAAAAATAAAGTTGGTATATTGCTTTGTTCTCTGATATCTTTACTAACGCCAAAAGGTCAAGTCATTGAAAAATTCATAATAAGTTCTTCGGATTAACATCGGGATTTTCTTATCTCCAGTTTAAGCTTTTAGCCAATTTACTCTCTCATTCAGAGAGCGCCAATCAAAAACCTTGAATTGTTACGTGTTTTTATTACATAAGGAGTTTCTGCTTTTAACAATGAGAAAGCTAGGTCAAGGAGAGGGTGTTAATAATTCGGGTTACTTTGGAATCAACTTTCAGTAAACTATTACATATTTCACCGGAGGTGACTTGTAAATCGGAAGTTGCTTATTATTTTCTCTTTTCCGTGTAAAACGTGAAGCATGATAAGGTAAGTTACCGCTATCTTCTTACACCGGAAACGACTTGTTTAACCGAAAGATAATTTACCATAATTTTCGTATCAACAAATTAGAATTTAACGATGGAAAGACCCTCTATTATTTTTAAATTTTTTTAAAAATCTTCGACACTTTTTGCTTCCCACCCTCAAGGATGTGACAAAGAATTGTGGCTAAATCGAAGTGATTCCTTTTCAGAGTTATTTCCCTTGTTATTTATTAACTGAGGAATATATAAGTGTAACTCATATCCCGTAAGAAATAAAGACCTAAAGTCTTCAGGCCAAGGTCATTCTTAACTTAGTTTTTGCTTCATCTTCAATCCCGTAAACGATATCGTCAAAAGGTTTTTATTAAATACTATTGCAACATGTCGTTACTTGAAACTTTATTTCTAATTAGAAGAGTGACAATTTATTGCCAGTTTCTCACCTAGAAACTAAAAAAAAAGGCTTTATGAATTTAGTACGTCCGAATTGCTTTCTGAAAAGTCCAAATTTTGATTTATTTAGACATGTTAGAGATATGATATATTTGGCCAACAAAAAGTGATCAAAGATACCAGCCTTATAACATGTATAATTTTGTAAGACAGACGCCGCGTATTGAAAAGATTCACTGTTACAATATCAATGTACATTCAGATAATATGATACCATGTGAAATATGATTGATTAGTTTGCTGTTTGTTTTAATAGTGTAGCAGCAAAAATATGTATGTGTTTAAATACTAGTTCAAATTATCATAACACAGTTCCACTGATAATCATAAAGCCAATAAGATAAATATAGATTTCACCTGTTTCAATTTTGAACTTCTGAATGATCTCTTAGCAGTAAATAGGCGTTTTGGTTCGATTATTTCGTTCAAGTGCAAGTACATATTTCAAACTTGTGCTTTCCGTCGCATTTTTACATGTTTTAATAAGAAAAAGCCTACAGTAAATACCATAAAAAGTATTGTCTTACCTTTGAGGTACACACATGAACGGCAAACGTCGTCAATATTTTTTCTCGGTTATAACATGTCTTCAGATAATATTGAGATCAATTCTTATTGATTTTTAAACAGATAAAACACTCATAATGACAGACGGCCCAGATAAGATAGAAATTAAAGTTTGTGATAAATACACACTATCGATATGTGTATCATAGGATATGTAGGGTTTTCATTTTCGAAAATACGAATTTAACCATTATAACTTTAATTAAAAACCCAATGTTGAACAACGTTTAGAGAACACCTAATGCATATATAAGAGTCCAAGTTGTAATCTAAAAGTGTGAATGATGCAGTATATTGATATATCTCATAGATCCCACATAGTATAGACCTAAGTTGTTTTGTTTTGAGGTTCTTGCTTTCTGACCTTTAAATTGAATTCGAAGTCGAAAGTCAAATCTAGCTTTTGATCATTATTTTCTATCATTATTTCCCTGAAATATTTTTTGGTTTAGACAAAAAAAGAAAGAAGCAAAATGATTGGCACAGTACGACAGAGATATGATGTATTTAGCCAACAAAAACTCATCAAAGATACCAGACTTATAATTTTGTAAGTTAGACGCCGCGTTTCGTCTTCATGAGACGCTATAATCAAAATAATTAAAAAAAAAAGTCAAATACGAAGTTGAAGATAATGAAAAACTGAAAATGTCAAACCAGCACGATGACAATTATATTTTAGCAAATCGAATTTGACTAACAGGTCGAACAACTGGTGTTCTTAAACCCTGCTGACTGCCATTGACGATTGCCAAATAAATTGATTACGAGATGTAACATGGATCTTAATTATTAATTTAATACCAAACAGAGAACAATAAACTTGCGGAGAAGATGGTATTCCGCAAACATGAGGTGCAAAAATTTGTATACCATATCCGGATTTCGACAAGAAATTTGTGAATTTTAGTCAAATTTTGTACAAATTGTAATTTGTACAAGCACTTTTTGTACAAATTACAATTTGTACAAAGTCAAAATACAAATTATAATTTGTACAATTTTTTTGTACAAATTATAACTTGTACAAATAATAACTTGTACACAACATATATACATGTACTACAAGTTTTGATAGTTACTTAAAACTTTGAAGAAAACTGATCATATTGCCCATTTGATTAGAACAATTATATGAAATTGAAGCATGTATCTTAACATATTTTTTTAACTTTTGCTAAAACTAAACAATCCGGAAATGTTTACTTGAACCTGATGATACTTTTATAATTGTTTTTGCTTTTGCTTGTCTGTTTCAGTTTCATTTAAATAAAGCTCATTGGTTTAGCACTTTAATCCTTATATCAAGAAGAAATTTGATAAAAATTGCTGATATGGCTTTGAGTGGGATCCCGTCTGTGGGGATGATGTAGATGCTGGGTAAACTAACTTTTGTATCTGTAGTCGTCTGTTATTATACTCCAAGATTAGTACTTGTAACATCAGGTTAAATGTTTCGGTACCAATATATGATATATTTGGTTTTAGTTAATGGATGAGAATCTAGATCACAGTTCATTCACATCCAAGTCGGCAGTCCAATCCAAGAAACATACACGAATTGGTAAACTCTAAATTCTTATAATATATAGAGTCAAAATATAAAATGAAACAGTATTACAAATCAGTAATTTTAAACCAAAGAAAATACATGTTTGCGTCGGAAAATCTTAACGCAGTTCATTTGCTCTCGTTGGCATATCCAAACGGAGCCCCCGAATAATAATCTAACTTTCTTTAAATACCAAATAACGTTCTTAACAACAAAGTTTGCAATGGTCATTTTGTCAACAAAATTAGATAACGGATTGATTCCGTTTATCAAAGAGAATTATTTACACGCGTATTTATTAAACATAACGATAATTGATCAAATAGAAATTTTGAATAATCGTAAGATTTAAGTTCAATCTTGACCATACGTATTGACAAATATAAATGTATAATCTAACAGGTTTCAAGTGTAAAAAGATATTTCGGACATAAATACATTGTGAAGTTCGAGATCATACTATGAAATACATTGTATATGTACACGTTAATAAACTGTAATAGAAATCTACATATTAATTAGATAGTTTTGAATATAAAATATAATTCAAAAATAATGTGTCACTCTCAACACGTCATCTTTTTAAAAGTTTTCTACTATCAAACAAAATAAAATGACAAAACTGATTATTCAAAATGAAAATTGAAGATCTAATAGGGTTAGTAAATAGAAAAGTAAAACAAATAAATGAAAGATACAATAATCAATAAAAATAAGAAAAAGAAACCAAATTTGTTTCTATAAAAACGAAATCAGCTCGACTCCACCAACACCCTTTAGATGAACTAAGCTGAACTTAAAGCGATGTCAAATCAATGTGGTCGCTTTAATTGGGTTTATTCAAATGTTCAGTTATATTCCGCGCTTCTTGCTTAAAATGTGATATTCACTTGTTTCCACGAAACGCGCTGGGTGTTGGTTATCAATGACACAGGCTTTTACAGGGGACACTAATTTTACATCCAAATACGAGATTACATGTCGAGGCAAGAATAGCTTCAAAACCAAAAAGGGTTTTTGGTTGGAAGCTTACAACAAGTGTTATACTATAAAGTGTATTCACTCCTATAACTTTACCGTATCCGGTCTATGAAAACAGTTTTTATCAAGAAACATGCATGTCCGATTCTATGACCATGAAAACTGATGAGAACTATTTTTATCAAACAGAGCACTGGGATTTAAACTCTACTATAAATATATTAATGACATATCATTTATGCATAAATAACAATATGACTCATTGACGACCACATACATACCTCGAGATGTCTTTTGATGGTTCAAAATTGATGTCAATGTATAAGATTCTATTTCATTTACCAGAGGGTCTAGATGGGGGTCCTTCATTTCTTTATTCTTTTTTTAGATAGTTTTTCTCTTTTTTTTATTTATTTTGCCATTTTTGGTCTCTATTCTTTATTTATTCCTTACTTGTTTTCTATTCCATATTTTTTTACCCTTTATTCTGCACCTTTTTGCCCATTATTCTCTATTCGAGAAATCCAACCCAGACCTTCTTACCAGGAATCCATTGTGAAGAGAAGAATGCATCTTTCCAACATCTCTTTACGAGAATGTAAAAGATTATTTCGAGTCTTATAAAAACTTCTTCTATATGCATAAAGAGAAATTAACTGATTTACTTGACACATTTAAGCTGCAGAATTAATGACGTTAGAAGTTAAACCGATAATTACTCACACCAAAAGAGAGTCTACAAAACATTTAGAAATATTCAATAACATTTTGTTTGATTTAATGTATCATGATCTATCCTTTATTTTAAAAACTAACAATTATTTCGAACAAACAACACATGTTAGTGGATAATCCTGTTTGTACGGTGGACAACGAAGGGATCCACATTTAGCAAGTACATCATAAAGTAGTTTACTTCGGCCGGTGAACGATGAGCCACCACTCACATATTCAGGTTGAATATCAATACAAACATATGATCCAGCTGCCTGATGACCGTCTTTACTTGAAGCCAGATATCCATGGTACTCCATGTTCCAACCTGTGTAGCACCTGTTCTTCCCTGGAATCATTATGACACTGGATGCCTTTTTCACTCTACATACAGCACATGGTACGTCCTGAAAATTACTATTTGAGGCAAATAAATTACTATTAAATTTTGTTCCATACATACGACCACCACCACCAAAACCATCACCACCACTCGTTTTGACAAAATCAGGGTCTGATGGTAGACAGACTGATTCTGGTGCTGAGCCTTGCTGATCAAACCTTCCACCGCCTGCATACCCTATACAGAAACAAACAGAAATATATAAACCTGTTGTTACATTTGTTTATATAAACAAGGTCTTACTTCTTAATAGCGTTTGACGTCTGATTCCGTCATCAGTCATGGACCTGACAAAATTAAAGCAATTCACATGACTAAGGAGGGAAACTTTCTAATTTCTGGATAGCTAAGTGATTGTACATAAAAACCACAAACAGAAACGAAATGGTAAGTCTGTTTTGAGTTGATAAGTGTCCAAATCTGTATAATTTGATGGGAATATGGTACATTTACGAACTTTCCTGCCTTGTGCAAAATAAGAACAGAGGGGCATCATATAAAACTACTGTTATTGTAAAATCCGCTGAATAAGAGCAGGAACCTTTAAAAAAGTGAACATAAGTTAAAATACTTCATTTAAACTTTGGTGAATAGTAGTCTAATTTGCAGTCATACCACATGTCCTTATTGTATAAGAAACATTTACTAAAACAAACCAAAAATAATATATAGCGATAGGGGATCGATTAAACAAGCGTTTGTCGTTTCAACAATTTATTGCAAATTTTCCCGTACATAATAATTCCATAGGAAGCATTCGAGAAAGAGGACACCTTTTCATGCGTAAAATCTTTCGTCAACGTTTCTGTTTTTAAATCATTTCTTTAACATGATTAGTAAAGGAACTCATAAAGAATCGTTTTACTATGTACATGGAAGACATTTAATAATTCTATGAAAACTATATGAAATTTGCCCTTAACAGAATGATAATGACCTACCGAATTAAACTTATCACCGGGTTTGTACTTACGTGAGCAAAACGACGTGCCAAATAAGAGCAGGATCAGCTTACCCTTCTATTTTACAGGGGTTCGTATTGCTTTTGCTTAATTTGTAAGTGTTCTTTGTGCTATTTATTTTTTTAATGTTTTTGTTGTTGATACAGTCTCGTTAATCCTTTGTCATAAAAAAACATGTTTCAAAATTTCACGTTTCAGGATTAAAATTTTTTACATGACCGATGGTCCAGAATTTGGTGATGTCTTAGGGTTAGATAAGAGTCAATTACCAACCCGCTATTGCGGGATGTTTAATCACTTGTTATGACTAATCAACGTATTTTACAGGAGTAACACGATGGGTATCACATGTGGAGCATGATCTGCTTAACCTTCCGGTGTACTTGAGATCACCCTCGGTTTTTGGTTGGGTTCGTGTTGCTCAATCTTTAGTTTTCTATGTTATATATGTTTTGTTTACTGTTGTTTATCTTTTGGTCTTTTCCTTTTTGCCATGGCGTTGACAGTTTATTTTCGACTTATGAGTTTGAATGTCCCTTTGGTATATTTCGCCTCTCTGTTACGATGGAGATACAAACAGAGGTATAATGCACCGAACTACACTGTCTAAGGTTTTGTTTTACATTAATTTCTCATTCAAAACTTGGTTGAGTCGCGTAGTTGTCACAGGCAGTATACAAGTAATTAAGAAACACAATCAAAATATATCTAAATGCCTATGATTTTTATTGCAACATTTTATGTGGACAGCGTTTTATTTCCAAATGAATTCTACCCAAGTCATGAGAATACTTATGTTTTTGTTTGTTTAATGAGCATCAGATGACAACGATTGAAAACGCAAAGTTATGGAAATAAACACAAATAACTTTAAACACAAATGAGAAAAAAAATAATAGAAAAGGAATTCCAAACAATGAAAAAAAATTATGGTAAAAAACTTCATTATATTAATCTTTTAAGTTATGCCGACCGTAATTATTCTAAACTTGGATATATACTAGTCAACAAAAGAAAAAAGTAAAATCACAAAAATACTGAACTCCGAGAAAAATTCAATCGGAAAGTCCCTAATCACATGGCAAAATCAAATGACAAAACACATCAAACGAATGGACAACAACTGTTATATTCCTGACTTGGTACAGAAACGATACAAGGCAATGTATTTTCCATATAAAATTTAATTGGATACCCAGCACCAAGGTAAATAATTGCCCAATTGGTCTAATATTTACAGAGTGTTATTTTCTTATCAAAACTATTGATTTAAGGCAATTACATGATTTTTTTTTTTTGCAATTTTTGTTATTGCAAAAATCGTATTTTCACCCAAAAATTAAAAAATCGATATATGAACTTAAAACTTTAAACTTAAACATGGTCTGCTTAAAATTTTGAATGCCTTTGCATATATATATTTGAATAGTTTTTTACTTAATTCTCATCTTCGAAATTAAGGGCCGACTTTTGTCATTATTTTCCTCAAAATAAATTTGACCCCTGTGTTCAATAACACGGTATTTTCTCACTTTCCAATTTGGTCAGATTCTTTTAATCATATGCATTTGCTTTGCAAATGAAAGTTTTTCATTGGATAATTAACAGTTTTTACTATTTATTATATTTTATGATAAATTGGAGTTCAAACTTATGTATCGTTACTTTTGTTGACTAGTATACATACCAGAAATGTTGGAGAATAGGAATAATCCAATTTTTTGAATTTTAGAAATTCGTCACCTACCACCAGTTCCTATATAATTTTTAACAAATCTATATTTTTTCGAATGGGAAAATTAAAGAATTTAAAATAAGTGCCTTATAGAGTTTTTAAATGACATATATCAAATAAATAAACTTATTCTGTACAATAATATGACTGTTATTGTAGATTTTTTCATTGCAAATCATATAGTAGCATATTAAAACATTTTATTTAGAATGATAAGTTTGTAGCTTACGTTCATATATATAACCTTGGTTTTTGTTTGGTTTGTCTTTTATATTATTTTTTGGATTAATCGATTCCTCATAGCAGAATCAAGTTTTGATTAATTAAATTGTAGCTTAAAAACAAAACACTTTGATCCAAATTGTAAAGAGATTCACGCTTTATATAGAAACTTGATATATGTTCCTATCTTAGTATGATTTTTTGTTTAATGATATATATGGGTGATATTTTTCTCACTGCACAGACGATATTATAGCGAACATTAATTCCAGACCTTCAAAGAACGTGCAAAAAAGGTTTTGCCGGTATGAAATATGCGGGATTTGTTACATGTTCTAATAACAGATAATTTCTTTTTTGCATTGAAAAATGCATGTAGAATATTTTATTACCTGAGTACACAAGCTCCGTATATCCATTATTAGGACATCGTTTTCTTGACCATCTGATGTATGTAGTACCTTTTTCTAAAAAAAAAAAAGACAAACAATTTGTTTCTGAATAGATATAAGAAGATGTGGTATGAGTGCCAATGAGACAACTCTCCATCCAAGTCAAAATTTATAAAAGTAAACCATTATAGGTCAAAGTACGGTCTTCAACACGGAGCCTTGGCTCACACCGAACAGCAAGCTATAAAGGGCCCCAGAAATTACTAGTGTAAAACCATTCAAACGGGAAAACCAACGGTCCAATCTATATAAAAAACGAGAAACGAGAAACATTCATGAACAACATCAACAAACGACAACTACTGAACAATGAATGTTTGTTTGACTTTAAAATTCTTTTTTCGGACTAAATAGGAAAAATACCTTCAATAAATAATGAAAACTAATTACATTAATATTAAAATGCTCGGAAAGAATCATAATATAACAAATATATCATTTATTTCATAAAATGAAACCTTCAAGAGTCTTTCTGCTGAATCAGGCTGTAATGTTACAAATCTTTCAGGACAATGTAAGACAATCTAACATGTCTAGATAAAATAATTTGCCTGTTGCCTTAAACAATGCATTTAAGATAAACTTCGAAAATAACCTCGTTTGAATTCTGATGTTAAGATGAGAAGAGAAATGTCCAGCGTAGCAAAAAGTGATATTTTGCTAAGAGATGTCTGATTCAAACAGGTTGACTACTGAAAAATCTTTTTGAGTAAGTTGTTGCTCATGTATCATGTAAACTAAATTTATGTATTACTGTACATATCGTTATGATATGTCAATCTAAATATCAATTTGACACTACAGTTACACTACAAATGATATTTCTGCAGTAAATTGGAATTTTATGCGACTGTCATACAAGTGAGAGGTTTAGCTAGCTTTAAAACCAGGTTTAATCCACCATTTTCTACATAAGAAAATGCCTGTACCAAGTCAGGAATATGACAGTTGTTTTCCATTCGTTTGATGAGTTTGAGCTTTTGAGTTTGCCAATTGTTAAGGGACTTTCCGATTTCAATTTTTCTTGGAGTTCAGTAATTTTGTTGTTTTACTTTTTTTTAACCATTAGATAGTTTCCGCTCCATTCATTAATCAACTAAATTTATATAATTATGTTGTTTTGAAAAGATAGAAGAATTGTAAGGCGGGTGCCACCAGTAAAGCAGGATCTGCTTACCCTTACGGACTAACTGAGATCACCGCAGTTTTTTGTGGGACTCGTTTTGCCCAGTCTTTAGTCTTCTTTGTAATGTTTTGTTGACTTGTATGAGGTTTCGTCGTATTTCGTTTTTTTTTCAATAAAGATGTCAGTTTTTCTTTGTCTAATGAGATTTGAATTTCGCCTTTATAGCTTCCGTCTCTTTTTAACCATTTTTGTAATTTTAAGAGTAAAAAAATCATTCATGTCCAGTGTACAAAGTAGTACCGATATTGTCGACATCGCAAAGTAGGTAATGTCGACACAATATTGTACAACGTTGTCGATATCGTTTCATACTCTAATCTACATCGTTGACATTGACGATAGCGCAAAGTAGACAATGTCGACACGATATTGTACAATGTTGTCGATATCGTTTCATACTCTTGTCTACATCGTTGACTTTGACGATATTGCGAAGTAGACAATGTCGACACGATGTTGTACAACGTTGTCGATATCGTTTCATACTCTTGTCTACATCGTTTACATTGCCGATATCGCTAACACATTACTCGTGTTTACATTGTTAATTTTGAATACAACGATGTCGACATTGTGTTGTACTTTGTCGATATCCCTTCATCATCTTGTCTCTGCATGGTTGGCATTGCCGACATCGCGAAAAAGACAATGTCAAAATACTGTATTACAACGTAATCTATAATGTCAACATCGCAAAGATGTTGAGGAGGAGGAGGAGGACGACGAGAAGGAGGCGGACGAGGAGGAGGAGGAGGATAGAGATTTTCAAACATTAAAAAACTGTCCAAATAAGTTCCACTATTAAGAACATCGACACAGGCGTAATATAAATACATTTTTTTGAAATTGAAATTGATAAACTAAACACTTCTTTATTTAAAAAAAAACGATGTAGGCGATGTCAACGATGTAGACAGGAAAGGGGGACGATGTAGACGATGTCGTCACGATGTTGTTAACATCGCGATATCGGCGATGTCAACGATGTAGACAGCAAGAAAAACGATGTAGACGATGTCGTCACGATGTTGTCAACATCACGATGTCGGCGATGTCAACGATGTAGACAGGAAAGGGGGACGATGTAGACGATGTCGTCACGATGTTGTCAACATCACGATGTCGGCGATGTCAACGATGTAGACAGGAAAGGGGGACGATGTAGACAGCAAGAAGAACGATGTGGGCGATATCAACGATGTAGACAACAAGTAAGACAACAAGTAAGACAATGTTGCGAGCAGGTATAAATCATGAACGAAGTTGACAATATCGGCGATATCGTCACTACATCGTGCACTGGACATACCTAAAAAAAATGGCTCTGATCACACCCCTTTATGTGTCAATTCATTGCAACAATTCCTCCTTATGTAAACTTACCATTCTGCTTCGATTTAAAGGCTGCTAATTCAGCCTTCATATCCTGATAGTATTGTTTCAAATCTTGATAGTCTTGTTTCAAACTAACGTAATCTGGAAATAGCTCAAGAACAGATTTCTCTGTCTGTAGAGCTGGCCGTCCGGAAAACATGAAAGCGACCATTATACAAAAGATGTAAATTACTAGTTCCATTTCCTTCGACCTCTTGTGTAAAGTGATTCTGTCTGTCTGAAACTGATATTAAAGAGCATGCTGAAATATGAAACAGTAAATTGGTAAAATCAATGATTTTGTAAAGTCCCTTAAACATTTCGAAAGTGTATAGAAACAGGTGACTCTTCTGGAGAATCTGATTTCACTCTTGGTTTTGGTCGAGTTCATGCGACTCACTCTTTAAATTTCTGGGTAGATTGTTGTTATTTTTGTTTGGCCTTCATCGGCCATGGTGTTGTCTTCTTTTTTTTTTTATCAAAAGTATCATTTGTTTTTTATTTTTGTTTACTGTCCCTAGGATTTTCTCTCTTATATTAGCAGATTTTGTGATTTTGTGGGTGTTTTTGATAAAATCAATGAAAAAATTACTAGGGAATTTTATGAAATCATTGATTTGATGTGTAAATCATATATAAAAATAAGAAGATGTAGTATGATTGCTAGTGAGACAACTCTCCACCAGAAACCAAATGACGTAGAAGTTTTAAACAACTATAGGATACCGTACGGCCTTCAACAATGACCAAAACCCATACCGCATAGTAAACTATAAAAATGACAAATGTAAAACAATTCAAATGAGAAAACTAACGAACTGATTTATGTATAAAACAATAATCGAAAGAAAAATAAATATGATATACCTGTCATTAGGCAGGAAGATACAGAATTTGAGAGTTAAATTTGTTTGCTGGCGCCAAACCATCCCCTTACCTGGGGCAGTGGTGCAACAGTAAAACACAAGAACAGACAATACACATCATTTGAAAAAGGATAAATTAGCTCATCAGATTGATACAAATCACAAATAAAAAACAAAACAAGAAACACAAAAGACACATATTACAGATCAGAGAGTACTCGCAGTTACTGAAAGCTATTTCAAAGCCAAAACAACTAATAAAAAATCATGTTGATTTGTATCTAGGACTTTCATATCAATCATTGCACATCCAATATCCAATGGATTCAGTGTAAATACCTCATTAACAGTAAGAGGAAAACATGACCTTGTGTATGCATGTATCAAACATGTATTTGGTCATATATCATATATATAGAAAAACAAGTTTTAAATACCTAGTTGTTCACAGAAAGTTTTCTAGTTGACAAAAACATGATTAACATAACTGATCCTTCTGAACTGGCCATGAGGAATTAAACTCTTTGCTATTTATTAGCAATGCTTTATCAGAACATATACGTTTTTTTTATAGTTCTTGTCAATTAAGTGATAATGCAAAACTGAAAGTTAACGGGATTCTATAAAATCACTGATTTTAAGATTTCTTTGTTACATATGCAGGTAAAAATATGTGCATGCAATTGCAGTATCTTTCAATAACAAATAGCTTTCTGTTGCTTCGAGTAAATTGATTTAGAAATTTGACTGATGACCTCAACTGAATCATCATGGGATACTTAGATGCTTACATATTCTATATTGTGTTTTGTGTACTGTTGTTTGTCTGTTTGTCTGTTTGTCTTTTTCTTTTTCTTTTTTTTAGCCATGGCGTTATCAGTTTTTTTTCTACTTATGAGTTTGAATGTCCCTTTGGTATCTTTCGCCTCCCTTTTAGACCATAGAAAAACCGTACTAATTCTTCAGTTAATTTGCATTAAATACGTGTATTTTGGTGATTAGCATATAGTTTTTGCGTATGAAAATATATTTTTCTCATGGTTGTGGCCTGTTATGATCTATTTTAAAAAGTAAAATAACACAAATTCCGAACTCCAAGCAAGGAAAATTTAAAACGGAAAGTTGGCAAAATCAAAAGCTTAAAAACATCAAACGAATGGAAAACAACTGTAATATTCCTGACAAGACACATGTCTCGTATTACATTGATCGGAATGTTATATAAAACAGTGATACAAAAAATGTGCTTATTTGGTTGGCCTATCCTCCAATATATTACAAAATTGCGATATTTCCATTGGCCATTCGTCAGGTCAATGATGACTTGAAAAGGTCAGAACGGATTACTTCCCTTGTAGTGGATATTTGGGATTCATGTCATAGTATACAACACATATTTCACCTGACTCAAAAATATTTGTTTTGCCAAATTTGATTCCATTCCGAAGCGTACACATACATGACATAGCTTGAAAACGTCTGATATTAACAGTTTCTGATACAATATTATCAATACCGTAATCGGACTTATATTTGAAGTGAAGCTAGCGAAATCGAACAAATTTCACCAGAATTTCCTTTTCTTCCACTATTGCTTAATATTAACTCTCTTTATTATATTTCATTTATAATAAAGATTCCTCAAAGACTCGTTTAATATTGAACATACTCCAAGTGACCACAATCAAAACACCTATTAATTTTTATTATAATATGCACAGTCACATTCTTGATTCAGTTGAAAATGTAAAATACTTCGGAGTAACAATATCGTCAAATTTAAAGTAGATCAAACACATTCAGAACATGACGTCTAAAGCAAACAAGACCCTTGGATTTAGCCATAACATCAGAAGAAATCTCAAAATAAACTCAGTGACCATTAAAGACAGTATAGTAATTTGTGTGACTTGACGCAATCTGACGTTTCAAAATATGTTGTTCGTCTATTGTTCTCGGGATTGTGCGGCAATAATAGGACACCGTACGGCATTCAACAATGAGAAAACCACACCGTATAGTCGGCTATAAACCCCGACATGAAAAATTCAAACCACTGTTACATAGGTTCCGACTCGGGACAGGCACATACAAAATGTTGCGGGGCTAAACTTATTTGTGAGCGCGCAACCCTTCCCTAACCTGAGACAGTGGTGTAACAGCACAACATAAGAACAAACTGTAAAAATCTTTAAAAGAGGGGCAAGGCCGATTTCCATTATTTCATTCATAAGGTCAAAATGTAGAAGTGGTCTGGAAATTGTAAATTGAAGATGACGTACAAGGTAACATATCGTGTAACAGTTTTACATATTCACATAAAAACATTATCGGATTCAAAATACAATTTAGAGCTGTATTTTAATACAGAATTACAAAGGGGTAGAGCCAATTTCCCCAATTTTGCAAATTTTACATGTTATGGTCAAATATTGCATCGAAGCACTACGATAAGCAAAATGATTTTTTTAGTGTCCGAAAGACAATACATTGCTTTACTTTCAGTATAATTTTGGTTTGGGTTAACGATGACCATGATGACCTTTTTATACATTTTGGGAATAAATACTATCAAACTGAAATACAGTTTACTCGGATAAACCCAATATCTGATGGCTGACGAATGAATCATACAGATTTCCATCTCTCTGCAGACTACTAGAAGAAACTTCTTGCTATCTCAACATGCTCAAGTCGAGTGACAAACATTAAGCCGAATTTAAGACGTTAACATATACTAGTATTTAACATTAAATAAATTTCCTGTGTTCTGTTGGCACAGAGAGCCCGGTCGAAAGTGACAACTGAGAAAAGTTAAATGTTTTGCACTGTCTAAAGACCTGTTAAAGCACTCAATGAATGTTCGCATTTAGATCAGACATGATTGAGTATAAACAGACACCCTTCTCCAATACGAGACTTGCGATATTCAAGTGACTATAATTTTATACCCATGTAACTCCTGCTTCTGTAAACAGAATGCGTTGGTTGCCCCTTTTCCCTGAAACTTCACATCGTAGACCTTTCTTATTTTTAACGTTGTCTCTTTTGTTCTTTGATCAGTTTCAAATAGTTCTACATCTAAAATCAAAATCGCATTTGTTCACTTAATCATCCCATGATCCCACCATGCATTACATATTAACATTCATTTCATACAATGTTTATAACAGCAATGGTTTATTTGTTTTCATGATTTGTTTTCAACGGAAGAGTAAAATTATAGAGGCCTACTTGGGTTGGCTTAGCTTACTCAGTTTGGATCAAGAAAATATTAAATAGGGAAGTGGTTACCTGTTCATGAGGGGAGAAAGAACGATCCAAACCTGATGTTTTTTTACCAATTTTTACGATATGAATATTTCATCATTAATAGTCAACGAATCAGCGACGTAACACAAAAGATTAACATGCATATGCATCTATTGACTTTTTGCGAAACTGAAATATCAAAGAGGTAGTGCCAATATCCATTGAATTAATGTTACAATACTAGGGCATTTTAAGATGTATGTCAACATAAAAAAGTGAGAGGTATAGCTTAAATTAATTTTTAAAATCATATAAGAGATCATAAGAGATACCCGGGTGTCAAACAGAATTATGCTGTATAAAATAAACAAATAACTAATCAAATTTGTCTTTCTGAAGATGTAAATGCATTTCGTCTTCCTACTGGAAATGATTGTCATCAGATTTCAAAGGACGTTTCATGTTTTTGCAAGTCTTCTGTTGTTTCGGCATGATCAGGCACATTGTTTGCTAGCTTGATACACCTTAATTTTTGCTGATTTACTGTTCGCTAGCTTGATACAACTTATTTCACGCGGGCTTATTATTCGCTACCTTGAGTCTAGTGACAGAATTCTACTTAAAAGAACATCATTTTAATGCTTTATAAGTTTATATATCGTCATAAATAAGCCGCTTTATTGCTTTTTATTGTAATAGTATAACTTAGCCTTAATTTACAAAAAAATAAAAATGATGTAGAAAAAATGTCCTACATTTATAAGACAGAACGCTACTTAAAACAGCATCATATATTATAATGCTTTGTAATTTGATATATGGATATAATTAAAACGTATTCTTGCACTATAATGCTCCTAAGATACCTTATTTTAGTTGCCATGGCATTGGCGTAATCAAGCAACTAAGACGAAGTCCATATGTTACAGTGAATCTCTAGACAAGTCTAAATCAGGGGTTTTAATTAGAGCTTTTATAAAATCCCTGATTTAGACTAGAAATTTTAGAAAATCCCCCAAAAAATTAAGATTTTATTTTTACAGATTCACTGATTTAATTCTGGGAATTTATAGAATAATCAATCTTTTTATTTAAATAATTCGTTGGAAAAAATACAAAAAGCCTACAACAGTAATACTTGTCC